GATCCCCCTTTAGGGTCGGGGTCTCCACTGTTGGGGTCCCCATTCGGGTTCCCTTTTGGGATCCCTCTGCTCTCCCTTGTTGGTGAATCAACCTCAAAGACCGGCTTTGAAGCTGATTACCAGCAAGGGAGGGCAGCCCATCGTGGCAGGGCCAGGACGTGCAGCTGAGTTAAACGGGGCCACGACAAGGGAAGAAACGCATAAATCAGCGACGGCGCTCAGGGCGCTGCTCTGCTCCGCTGTTCTCCAGGGCTGCAAATCACAAACTGCGCTTCCTTCTGGTCTCGATGATCCCTTGGGGTCCCTTCCAACCCTGCAGTTCTTTGAGCCCATCGGGGCTGAGGACGAGCCGCGCGCCGGGCAGAGCTGCAGCGGGCGCTGTGAGAGGCGCAGGCAGGGCAGCAGGCAGAGGACGCGGCTCCTCTATGGTGATGCTGACGTTCATTTGGGCTTCGCCCTTCATCTCACCGTGAGCCCCCCCAGCCTCTTCACGCCTTGCATCCCAAGCTGTGACGCTCCTTAATACGGCCGGCGCTGGAGGACAGGGATGGGCTGCTATGCAATGCCAGGCTCCTGGAGGATTGCTAGGATCCATTGCAGAGGAGCGTTTTTGGGTGGGGAGAAAAAGGAGACGCGCATCGAAGTCCGTTTGGTGGCAGCACTGCTCACCTCTGGCACTGCGGAGCTGAGAAGCAACTGCAGCAGGCAGAGCTTATCTCTATGTTTGCTTATCGCTATGTTTATCACTATGTTTGCTTATCGCTATGTTTGCTTATCTCTCTGCTTATCTCTACGTTTGCTTATCTCTCTGTTTGCTTATCTCTCCACAAAAGCTGCTCCTCTGTGGATAGAGAACTATCTCATATTACATTTATATCTACATAATAAAAATAAGATGTATTATAGGTGGGCTCAGAGCTGCTCAGAGCAGGACGGCGCCTGCTGTCCAATGAAGCTCACGCAGCAGCGCGGAAGGAGCTGCCCCCCCTTTGTCCCCTGCCCCACACGGGACGTTGGGCACCGCAGCCTCTGGGGCAGGGATTTCCTCTGCAATCTGCCTCAATTCCCGCTGCTGGAGCGCAGGAGCGGAGCGGCTGCGAAGCTGCGTGACGGAAAGGGACCTGGGTCTGGGAGCGGGTCGGGAAACGACGCGACAGCGCGGATCATTGTGATGGTAATTTGTATTTATTGGCACAGCGCAGCACGGAAAGCCCCATGGATGGCAGCGGTGGTTCTCTGGCTGTCAGGCGATGCCCCCAAATCCGCACGCCGGGGGCGCTCCCACCTCCTGACTGATGGTGGAGAGGAGCGGGAGGGCTGAGGTGGTGCTTTGGGGGGGGCTGGGGGCTGCGGGGCTTGGTATGCTTCCTCCAGGCTGTGCGATGGATGATGCCCCCAGACTGGCTGCTGGATGGTGCCCCCAAACTGATAACCTGGGGGTGATGCTCCCAACTCCTGAAGGATGATGGAGAGGAGAGGGAGGGCAGAGGTGGTGCTTGGGGGGGTCTGGGGGTCTTGGTGTGCTTCCTCCAGGCTGTATGATGGATGGTGCCCCCAAACTGGCTGCTGGATGATGCCCCCAAACTGACAGCCTGGGGGTGTTGCTCCCATCTCCCGAAGGATGGTGGAGGGGAGTGGGAGGGTGGTGCTGATGCTCGGGGGGCTGCTGGCTCAGCCGGCTTCCCCCAGGCAGCGGTGGTCCGTCTCGGTTGCCCCCAAGGCTGCGCTCTGCTGGGCTCTCTTCCACCCTCCGATGGATGCTGGAGGGCAGAGCGAAGGCAGAGGTGGGGCTGGGGGCTGCCAGGCTCTCCAGCTTCCCCCAGGCGGTGGCTGCCCCCAGGCTGACGCCCTGAGGGACCGCTCCCGACCCCCGAAGGATGGCGGTGGGGTCGGGGGGTGGTGCTGATGTCCATGTTGATGTCGATGCTGTCGCTCATCCACCAGGGTTCCGGTGTTGGGGCGCAGGCCGATGAGGACAAGCTTCCAAGCCAGGCGGGTTCCTCCCGTCCCCTGACGGATGGTGGGGGGGGACGGGGGGTGGTGTTGGCAGGCCTGGCAACCGGGGGCCGCCCTGGTGGTCGATGTTTCCATGGCCGCCTTCTCACAGATGTTTCACAAGTGGCCGTGAATTTCCACTCTGTAGATGCAGGTGTATTCCACGTTGCCCCAGTTGCTCTGCACATGAAACATGATGCGGCGGAAGGCTTTGTGGGGCTCCACCTGCCGACACAAAGAGGAGAGGCTTCGTCACGCGCGGCTCCCTTGGCCGAAGCCCGGCTCTGCTCCGCTGCCGTGGGACGGGACGGCGCTGCTGATGGAGGAAGGCAGCCGCCCTCCTCCCTCCCGCCGGCCGTCGTCCCTCCGCACCCGCAGGGGGACGGTTTGCCTCCCGCAGCGCCTTCCTGCTGCTGCGGCGGCTCTCTGGCTGCCATGGCCGCCCCCAAAGCCGCCAGCCACCTCCTGACTGATGGTGGAGAGGAGCGGGAGGGCAGAGGTGATGCTGGGGGAGCCTGGGGGCTGCTGTGCTCGAGCAGGAAGAACCATGGCTGCCAAAGGTGGGACGGCCGCCTCGTCTGTGTTCCCCGCGGGAGGGAGAGCAGAGCAGGGCCCGGCTGAGCAGGCCAAGCCTTTCTTGCCAGGACTGGCCATACCTGCACGTGGAAGGTCTGGGCGATCTCTCCTTTGATGTCGTAAACGAAAGACCCCAGGGCGGTTGGTGGTTCGTCCTCGTCCATTCCCTGAAAGACAAGAGACGATTTCGGTCACGCTTTAGGGCAGGCCGTGCAAAAAGGAACGCGCCGAGGCTGAAGGTGGGAGCCCTTCTCCCCCATCAGCTCTGGCAGAGCAGCAGAGGCTCCGGAGACGTGTGAGCACCCCGAGGGTCTCCGTGCCCTGGGCCGGGATGCCGCGCTCTGCAATCTCCTCTGGGATTGCTCGCCATGCGTTTGCTGTGGCCTTTTCTCCTGTTGGTGGAGTCGCAGAGGCCAAATTCCCGGCGGCTTTCTGCAGCTGAGGCCGGGCGCAGGGCTCTCCCGAAGCTGCGCTGCCCTGCGTTCCCCCTCACCACTGGGCTGTTTGCCCTTTTAACCCCCCTTGGTTTTGATGCTCGCTCCCAATCGTTCTCACGATGGCGGTTAGAGCTCTCCCATCTCTGAACCCTTTCCCCGATCCACACCTCGTCACATCGCTTCCGTCGCGATATTCGCGCCCGCTAATGAGAGGGCTGTCACTGCATAGCAGCCGCTGTTCATGACTGGGGCTCCCGCCGCTATGGGGCCTCGTGGGGCTCAGTGCCAAAGCTTTTCCTCGGGGTTTTCCTCCCTTGGAAGCAGCAGCACAGACTTACCGAGACAATAAACTCTCTGGGGGCGCTGCTGACTTCCCCGGAGGGAGAGACCGCCGTGGAGATGTGCCACACGGTGACAGCCGAGGGCCGGATTTTCTGCGGCAGCCGGATGACCACGTTGCCCTCGGATCCTCGGAAAGCCCAGCAGTTGCCAGGAGAAATATCGGCCTGCAATGAGAGCGACGCGTCTGTCAGCAGCGAGGCCAAGAGCCCCAGAGCCGGGCGGTGGGCGAGGAGCAGGGGCAGGAGGACAGGAGGGGAACGGGCACAGCTGGGGACGGCAGCTCTGGGCTCAGCCGCCTTTCTCTGCTTGCCCAGAGGTGGCAGGCAGCCCTCCCAGCACCCGTCAGCTCTCTGTCAGCCATCCATCACCCACGCTGTCAGCAACGTGGGGCAGTGTGGGCTGAGCAGTGCAGCTGGGCCAAAGGAAATCGCTGCGCGCTCGCTTGTGCAGCCAGAAAGCTGCAGCCAACACACAGGCGCCGTTTGTCCTGCCGTACCTGCAGCAGCGTCTCAGGAGGCTTGGCGCTGGAGAAGAGTGAGGAAAGCCAGCCGTGCTGCCTGCCTGCCCCGCCGTAACTCTGGGACGTCCGCTCAGCATCGATGGTGGCACCTGGAAGGAAGATGGAGAGACGTGCAGTGGGGCGGCCCAGAGGGGAGCTGAAGGAGCCAATGCTCGTTCCACGAAGCTCCTGGGGTGCAAAATCCCTCCTGTGTGTGTGGGAAGTGTGGAGTCCCAGCCTGAGGCACTGATGGAGCAGTGGGGAGAGGAGCCGCTCAGCCCCAGGAGCACAGGTGGAGGCTTTGTGAATTCGCAGAGCGGGGAGATTGAATGGGATGGCTGGAGGAAATTCTTGCCGCCCCCAGAAGCCGTGGGTGCCCCGTTGCTGAGACCGGGTTGGACGGGGCCCTGAGCACCCGATGGAAAGGGTGGCAGCCCTGCCAACGGCAGGGAGCTGGGCTGGATGGGCTGTAAGGTCCCTGCAGAGCTCAGCCGTGCCAAAGCTCTGTGAGACAGCGGGCAGAAAGCAGAGCTCGGCAGCTTTGGGGAGCGCCAGGCGCAGAGCTGAGGGCACAGAAGCTGCCTGTCGACGTACCCAGGTTTTGCAGAGCCCAGTTGGGCAGCCAGGCGCCGTTCTCCACCATTTTCTCCATGGCCTCCTGGGTCGACTGCAGGATTTCCTGGCAACAAACGGGGAACGGAGAGACAGCAGTGAGCAAAACGCTGCAGAGGAGAGCTGACCCTGACCCTGACCCTGACCCT